CCTCATTTGCCAAAAATATTTTCCTGTTGGCCTTGTTTGCTGCTGTTTAGATCTTCCCCTTCCCCCAACAGGGGGCGTAAAGCCGCGGTCTAGGGAAGTGAGAAGCTGGGAACGCAGGGCGTATGAGGCCGCCCCCAGGCTCGGAAACTCCTAAAAGGCTCTTGTGTTTAAGCTACCTGGGAAAGTAAACAGGTAAACACTGGACCAACTTGGAGGGCCACTTGTCCTGGAGTGGGGCCACTTAGCCTGTGTACATTCACCTCCCCTCCAGGGCCTCCGCCGATTGTTCAGCGCCCCCACTGCCCTCTCCAGCCGCCTGCGCTTCAGTCCCTCCGGAGCCCCGGGCTGCAGAAAGCAGCTTAGCGGCCTGAGGTGCCTCCCAAAGGAGGTTCTCTCCAGCCTCCAGGGAGAAAGATTTTCTTCCTGCCCGCCCCATCCTCACCTCTCCTGGGGACCTGCGATTCCCTTTGTGCCCATCCTAAACTTGGGAAGAAGGAATACAGAGTTGGAGATTTGTAGGGAACCTGGAGCCCCAACGCTGAGAATACAGACCAGGGAGAGAGTACCTCTGACTGCTTTGGTGACCTTGGCAGGGCTGCTAGGTGATGCTCACACACCAAAGAGAGCCAAGGTTGTCCCCCTCCAGCCTAGAACACACTATGATCAAACTTCCAGCACCTGTGCCAACTTCGTCCACAAGTTTGCATCAGAAGAAGGCCTATGGCAGAGCGCTGACGAACTGCCCCAATGCCAGCAGAAGAGCCCAAAGTCCACATCCAGACCTGATGGAACCCAGGACATTTTTTTCTCAATGCCAGAAGGAACCTGAAAAGAATTTACTAAAGAATCTGAGTTGGGCAGACTAGAGCATATCCAAGGAGAGCTGAAACTGGTGCAAGGGGACACTAATACGGCCAGAACCAACCGACAGGGTGGGAATCGCCAGGACCCTAAAGAGGGGACAAGAGTGTGAGGCAGGTTCCTCTCAGCCAGTTGGGTGTGCAGAATCTCGCTGAATAGGAGATCCTGGGCTCAAAAGGGCCGGGTGTCGTGCTTCAGGGGGAGAACTCTTGGGGAGTCCTCAGAATCCAATCACCTGGTTAATTTATATGGAAAGGTGCCTTTGGTGCCTCACCCCTGCTCTTCCTGCCACAGGAAATCCAGGAGACCCTGGAGCATGCTTTGGGCACCAGGCTTGCCCGCAGCCGCCAGCTGGTCCTGCACCAGCCTCCTGGCTTCCACAGGCCACTCCTGGGGGACTCGCATTTTATGATCTTCCTCTAACAAGCCGAGTTGCTCCCCTTCAATTATGAGCCTCCCAGTGGTCTCCCTGTGCCTTTTCAATTGCAAATGTCAGAGCTTTGGAAGCGGTCGCGGGAACCACATGGGCAACTAAGCGATGGGGAAAATGGACTCGCAAGGTCCCGGGAGAGAGACATTGAATGCAGCAGTTTCAGCAGGGTGCAGAGCATGGTAGCAGGAGACTAGGAGAAGACTCCCTCCAACTCCCTCCATGCCCTGCTACCCCCAGGCCAGAGGAAGGAAAAACACCAGCATTTGCTGGAGTGTGAGAGTAGAGGAAAGCGCTGAGATCAAAGCAATGGCCTGAGGGTGCAGGAGAAGTATGGCCCTGCAAGTGCTACTGGAAGGGGACCTTGTGATCTAAGGCATGGAAGGACTCGGGTTGAGGCCAACAAGCAGGCACCCTGAAGAGCCCCGTCTTTGGTGAATTGGGCTGGGGCCCTCCTTCTCAAGGCGCCATTACCAGCACCCTCTCTCCAGGATAAAAACCCAGAGGAAAAATGTTCTCTCAGGCGCTCTGCAGTACAGGACCCCAGGGGGAAGGAAGAGAGGGGACTTGATCAACAGTAGCTGTGGTAATTAGCTCCAGGGAGAAGCCCACTATGTTGGGGGAAGGGAGGGAGAAATTGGGAACTAAATGGAACCAGGTAATTCTAAGGTGAAGAAATGAGCAGGCTCCCTGGACAGTGTCTGGGGGTGACTCCTCCCCCCTCCCCAAAGATGGTTCAGAAGATATGCAAAAAGGGACACTTCTTGCCAAAAGGCCATTTTCCACCCAACCCAAGAATTGGCCTGGCCCTTCCCCATCCCTGGAGCCTGCCCTGGTCCCCAAGAGAAAACCGACCTCCACTTGAAACAGAGGAATAAGTGTAGAGACCATAGGAGAATCTTTTCTGCAGTGCTTGGATTGAGGAACTTTTCCTGGCCATTTATTTATTTTAGCAACTGAGTAACAATGGCTAGGGCAGGCCCACCCACCCGTTTCCAAACTCTAGGCCCCTCTACTCCTGGAGAACCAACTTCCCTCCTCAGACTGGACAGGGCAGAGAGCTCCCACTGAAGCAGGTGGTGGAGAGAAAGAGACTCGGGGGAGAGAAACTGAAAAAGACAGACTGGAGAGAGGGATGGGAAAAAAGCACAAAAAGTAAATGGGTTCGAGGAACACGATTCAAACCAGTTTCTAATTCTTGCGGGGGGGGGGAGGAAAAGCGGGGAGAAAAGAGAAAAGAAAAAGGAGGAGAAAGAGGAATGGGGAGCATCGACATGAAGGGGTTTCCTTAATATTGTGGACGGATTCAGAAATGAATGAAGAGATAGTCCATTGAAAAGGGTTGAATGCCATGACAACTAGGAACAACCTTAGATTTATTCCAAACAGTTAGGACCCATTGAAAGAGAGCGTCAATCATGTATTATTTCGCCACTGAAATAAATGCAAAAACCGAGCCGGGACAAAGGCTTCCAACGGGAGCGGGACATTTGTCTACATTTCGCTCATTGTCCGCAGCTTAGCAATCGGTTTGTATTTGTGTTTGCCCGGGTCCGACCACCCAGGACGCGCCGACGAGGGGCTCGTTCTAACCTGGGCCATTGTCACCCACGTCACATACTGGGGACGAGGCAGTGAAGGCTGCAGAAAGCCGCAGAGCGGCTCAGGGAGAGGCGCTCTGGCTGGGCGCTGGCAACCCAGGGGCAACTGGGGCGCGGTGGCGACCGCAGCTGCGCGCGAGGACACCGCCGCGCCCGGGCGCTCCTCTGGGCCAGCGCTGTGGCGGTCCCGGTTACAGGCTGAAGGGGAGGCAATACCGGACCCCCGAGTGCGGCCTTGTCTGCCCCTCCTGCCCCCAGGCAAAGCACCCTCCTGACGCTCTTTCGGGGGCGGACAAGCATCAAGTAGCAAACTCCCCCCTACCCCCAAAAACTAACTCGAGGGAGAGGCGAGAAGTCAGGCGCGGAGGAGGAGGTGCTGTCCCCCAGGAAAGTTCAGTTCTCTGGCTGGTAAGAGATTGGGAACGTCACACACCTAACGCAATCTGGGAGCCTGGAGCGTGTCCTCGGAACGCATCCGTGGGGCGTCCAAAAGGAGACGACATTAAAAGACTCGCTTGGGAGAAGAAAACATAGCACCGTCCGCTCGCCCTGCGACCTCCTCCCCCGCGGCGTTCGGAGGTCCTCACCAAGGCTAAAGACAGCGCCCCTGCCGCCCCCCCCCCGCCCCGCCCTTCCTTCCCGCCGCTCCACTAAGGCTGGAGGCTGAAGAGGGAGGAATAATAGGGGGCAGGAAGGCTGCAAGGCCGTCTGCCCTTCCCTCCACCCGGAGAACGCGGCTCGCAGAGTCCGGAGGCAGCCGGGCCGGGGTCCGAACCCTGCCTAAGTTAGAGTTCCCCACCCCCACTTCCCCCTCCCCGGCGACCCACAAAATCGCATGTGAACTGCGCAGTGTTTCTCCGCCGCAAAGAAATGGAAGGGGGTGTGGGGGAAGGTGGAGTGAGGAAATAAATGTCTTTAGCAAATAAAGGGTGGCTGAAAGGAGGGGGTTGTCGCCCGGTGGTAGCTGCGGCTGGCCCCAGCCCGATCCCTCTCCTAGGTTTCGGTCTCTTTTGGCGTTAACTAGAATCAATTACTTGCCTTGTCATTTCTAGTACTCATCCTTAAGCCTCAACCAAAATATTGACCTAGGAGGCTTACAGAAGTTGGGCTCTTGCCATTTGAACCGGATCTTGTTTTGGGAGCCACCAGCGATGGAAAGGAGAGATTTCCGCGGCTCGGCCTTCGCCCCCTCCCCCTTTTCCAAAGGCGCCACAACTCATCAGTTTTCTGACTTGCGGGGGGCGGGCGCGCGGGGGCTGGGAGGTAGGAACCGGTAAATGTTAAAAAGGATTTTTTTTTTTTTCCTCCTCTAGGTGTCTGTTTTGTTTTCTCTCCTTCCCACTTTTTTAAAGATGCAATTTGTTAAAACGGCGCTTTCAAGTGTGTGGACTCGCTAGCGACGCGGTGGTCCTTTGTATGTAAATACTGGGTTAAAAAAGGCTCACCCCGTCTTTGCAATTAATTGACACATTACACCTCTCATCTTGCTCTAGAGGGCCGTTGGCTGGGAGCGCGGAGCTCCCCAAAACCCACAATTTCACATCTGCAAATACTGTCTTCATCCACTTGACTTCCAAGACCCGCCCACACGTGTCCAACCTTTGCGTTTTAATGTCTCCCCCCTTTTTTTCCACCCTTCTCTCGCTCCCTCACTGGCTACCCCTCCCTCCCT